ATGCACAGAGCTTTGTATCATTTGAAACTGTATAGGGATTGATGCTGTTTAGAACCAGATGTAAAGAGCAACAGCTATGAGAGAACTATGGACCTTAGTGGCAGACTCAAAAAGGGACCAAGGAAGGGGAATGAATAGAGAATACTTGAGAGCGTAAAAAGAGCCCATGTGTTGTGGTTTGAGTGTAAAATGTCTCCCTGTCTCTCATGTGGTTAAACACTTGGTCCCTGCTATTGGTGATATATTGGAAAGTTGTGGAAGCTTTAGGAGATGGAGCCTTGATGAAGAAAAGGGTCACTGGGGGCAAAAGTTAAAGTTTCTTCTTCAGCCCCACTTCCTCTCTGCTCTCGCTTCCTGCCTACAAACATCATAACAGCTGCCTCACCACCACCCCTGCCACCTTGACTTTCCAACCATGATGGACTATGTAATTTCAAAAAAGAAAATGAGCCAAAATAAACCCTGACTCCCTTAAGTTTCTTCTTGTCAGCTATTTACTCATATCATCAAAAAAGCAAACTATCACAACATTCTTATTTGGGGAGCAAGCAAGGAAAAGTAAAGACTTGAGTTGTTGGTTCTGATCCTAATGCCTATTAGTTGACTAGTGACTTGGATTTTGGTCAAACTTTTGGGTCAAACAGCGTTGAGTGTAGAGTCTCTTTTCAGGTTCCCCCTGCCAGAGTCCCATGGAGGAGGTGTAGTGTCAGTGAAAAAGAATGGAGACAGACACTGGGATGTGTTTATTGAACACTCTCTGTCTTCTTAAGAGATAACCTGTTTAATTTTCCTCCTAATAAAGAAAGCATTATGTGCAGTAAGGCATGTTTTGCATGGATTTTACAAAATCAGTTCCCCCAAATTTTCAACATTACATCATAATGTTCACAAAGCCTTCTGCTCACTTATTTCCTTCTGTGTCTGTGGAGCAAAGTTAGTCCCAGGCCATCAATTCTACACTCAAAGAGCACCACCCCTCATGGTAGCCCAGGTAGGAAACAGCTCTGATGTCAACAATTACATTTTTTTATACTAACTATAATATGCTGCCCTGCCATTCTTTGGTTTCAAGGTACTAGACATACAGTCTTAAGAAACAAATCTAAAAGAGGGCTAATATTTACACCATGTTTTCTAGGTTTATTTGTAAGTACACCTTCTCAATGTCCCCTTGATCTTACAGCAGCTATTTTAGACATAAATATAGACTTTGATCCTCCTCTGTGTAATCAGATGTCCTCAAGTTTCCTGTACCCAATGTAGCAATGAGTTCCCTACATCATCTATCCATGAAATATTTCCTAGGCTCAGTGCCTCTCAAAGTACAACCAAGAAGACACATTAAGTATTCTTTACTGGGTTCACATAAAGTAATTTCTTTTATAGTAGTTTGGGTAGTCATAAGGTTATGCTAAGTAAGAGTGAAAGAAGCATAGGAATTTTTATTGGTCTCCATAGTATCCCTATTCGTTTCATCTTTTAATACATTCCCCAGGGGAACTGTACTTCATCCTCTCATTATTCTCATGTGCCCAGATCACCACAAAACACTCAGTAGCAACAGCAGCAAAAAGACTAAGAAAGGAGAAATATAGAACCTGACATCATTCTGCTGGAACATTGTTCTTCTTGCTGGAATTTTGTCATACAGTGAGGAGCTCACGCCAGTCTGTGTTTCTGTGCTGATTCCAGCAGATGCATGGATCTTGACATCCACCCTTTCAATGACAGCTGTTTGGTTTAAAGAAGTCACCTCCCTTTCTTCACTCTGTAGTTACTATGAATATCAAATATAATAACAACTACCATGTGGCTGGCACCTTACTAGAAATAGGTAGTAAGAAGTTCATTACAATATCACATTTTATACCATCATTGTCCTTGCTTGGAAGCTCAGTTTATCACTGTGCATATCCTTGCTTAAAGGTCAGCTCTGCAGAAGAGGCATTATCCAGAAGCAGGCAGTGTGACCCTTTACATTTGTTCCTCACTGAACTTCCTGGAAACATTTGTCACCATCTTCTTTAAAGTTCAGCTAATTTTCCTTAGCCTCCTGATAAACTTAAGTACTCTGACTATATTTTCATTCCGAAACCTTCCCAGACTTTAGAGTAAGGCTGTGCCAGATGGGGCCTGATCCTGGCTTGGGAAATGCAGATTCAAAACCAGAGCTAAGTCATCTTCTCTAGAATCAAATACAGCTACCTCCCACACCTCCAGCAGCTTCTCTATCTAAGCAGGAGGAGTTCATCACTCTTGCTCTTTGCTTTCAAATTCCAAAGAATTCATAACCACGGTTCTCTATGAAAGATCAGAGTTCCTCCATTCCACAGAAGCACCAAAGGAGTGTCCAGGCAAAAGCAGGGTCCTGCTTCAGAAATGGACCCACAAGTTCAGGGTCCATACATCCAGCAGTCTTTAAATTGTGTCTTGTTGGCCATTATTAGCAGGGGACAGAAAGCCTCTCCAGTGAAAAAAGCAGATGAGGCCAGTATCCGTTTATAGAATTGCTGAAGGAAAGGTCTGGAAGTCCTGAGTGAAAGACATTGAACATCAAACACTGAGAACAACTCCTGGAATTCATTTGCAGAGAGGGAGTAAACCACAGAAACTGATGACCTAAACAAGGGGGAGCCCATGGACTCCAGTCTGACAGCTGGGAAACAAGCATAGGACTAACAGACTCCCTAAACATGAGTATTAGTTAGGAGGACTAGGCAGTCTATAGGGCCTCTGGTAATGGATCAGTATTTATCCCTAGTATACTAATGGACTTTAGGAGCCCATCCCATATAGAGGGATACTCCCTCAGCCTAGACACATGGGGGAGGGCCTAGGCCCTGCTCCAAATGATATGACAGTCTTTGAAGACACCCCATGGAAGTCTGCTCCCTGGGGAGAAAAAAGGGAATGAGATGGGGGCTTGGTGATGTGAACAGGGGAGGACAGAGGAAGTGAGGGTATAGAAACTGGGATTGACATGTAAAACAAGCTTGTTTCAAATTTAAGGTAAAAAAAAAAAGAAAAAGAAATACATCGAGTTTGTGGTAATTGCCCCAATAAAACAGTCACTCTGACCAGAGACTTCTGATTACATGGGCATCTCTTGCTGGGCAGGGGAAAAAGGCACTAAAATAGGCTTTTTATATGTCTTTAGCACACCTTTATACACCAGGCACTTCTGATGTTCCGATGTCTTTGAAATAGAATTTTCATGATTGATTACCAAACCTTCTTGCTGCCTCATTCCTGTTGGAGACACCTTTGTTGTTGTTCTTTCTTTTGATGATCTGTGGCTTTTCTGCCCCTGTACCTCTTTACAGCAGCCCTGCAAAGTTGTTTTGTGGTTTTTTTCCCTGTTTGGTATGGTTTTGATTTTTTTCTTTTTTGTTTGTTTTGTTATAGCATCTAACACTGTAGCCCAGGCTTACTGGGCTATTGTAGCCCAGAGGCTAGCCTTGACCTTATAGCAGTTCCCTTGCCTTAGCCTCCTAATGGAAGCATGGTTAGCCCCCTGGCACAGCTTACCTTTGCAAAGTTGCTCAAGACTTCCAGGAGGAGGAAATGCTAAAAATCTGAAAATGGCACCACCCCAGTTGCTCCATATACACTTGGCTTTCCATTGTCCCTGTGTGTGTGTGTGTGTGTGTGTGTGTGTGTGTGAGTGTGTAGTTTTCATGGCATTCAACAAACACTAATTCTATTCTTTTCTCACCCACTCCAAGACCTCTTTAAGGTACCTGTCTATACATACTAGGTCAAGAAATTCACAAAGCTAAAGCCTCAGTTACTTCAACAGGAAGTTGCCAAGGAATGCTGGGAGATTTCTGGAAGGTGCTTAGCAACCAGAATGTGTCAATGATTGTAGTTGTTTCTCATTTTAATGCTTGTTTGAGTGTTCATTGGGATCATGCTTCTGGGAATGGTCATTTCTTTAGAAGACCCACAAGCTTTTTAAGCCTTTGCTGAGAAAAGAACAGTAGTTTGGGCTGGAAGAGTTCAGATCTTATACTATAACTCCACACATACTCAGCCTATCCATTTGCAATATTTATTCTGTGTTCCTATGACAAATTATGTGAGTATAATACTTATAAAGAAAAGATATTTATTTACATCACAGTTTTAGAAGCTATAAATCCAAAATGTTGCAGCCTGTCCAGACTCTGGTGAACTGGGTGTTTGAGAAGGGGAACTGAATTCAGCTTGTGAATGTTGGGAACCAAAGGGCCCCCCTTTGTTGCTAAACATGACAAAGAAACATGAAGTAAAACAGCTTCATAAAGAAAAGGAACCAAGAACTACTGTCTGTGTGTATATCTGTCTGTCTTTCTTGTTCTTTTTTGGAGGGTATTGTTTTTTTGAGGCACAGTATCTCTCTGTTTTGTTCTGGAACTCACTACGTAGACCAAGATGGCCTTGGCCTCACAGAGATCCACCTGTTTCTGCCTCTTAAGTGTTGGGATTGAAGGTATGTTCCATTATGCACACATTCACCTGTCTCTTAAATGTAAGGCACTGAATTTCCACAAGAAGGGGAGACCTCTGCTGAGAAAGGAAACTAAAGGAGTAATTTTTAATAGCCCAAACTGGTGGGAAATAACTAAGATCTCAGGAATACTACACTCATCCATTCTATAGCGCCCCTAATTAGCTACCTTCCCCTGTTTCCACTTCTTAAAATTCTTAACACTACCTCACAGAGGAACTTGCTTCCAACACATGAGGATTGAGGAGAACACCCAGCCAAACTATAGCACCCCTGAGAATGAATGTGAGACATAGAAGTGGGTTGGTTTAAAATGTGAAACATGTCATGCAATCAGTTGCAAGCAGAGAAAGACTGGAATCAACAAGGCAGGTGTCCTGTGTTTGTTTTACTGGTAAGAAATTGAGTCATGTTGAGTCAAGAGATTTGGATTTGCAGCTGATTGACCAGGACATGTTAGAGACAGAGACTCAAAGGTGGTCTGCTAATGCTTTCTTCCTCTCTCTTCTAGACTCCAGATGCTAGAGGCCATCTGCAAGCACTGGGAAGGGCCCATCAGCCTGGCCCTCTACCTGTCAGATGCTGAAGCCCAGCAGTTCCTCCGCTATGCCCAGGGATCTGAGGTGCTTATGAGTCGCCACAATGTGGGCTACCACATAGTGTACAAGGAGGGTCAGTTCTATCCTGTCAACCTCCTACGCAATGTGGCTATGAAGCATATCAGCACACCGTACATGTTCTTATCTGACATTGACTTCCTGCCTATGTATGGGCTCTATGAGTACCTCAGGTAAGCACCCCAGGGGAACTGGCTGGTCTGTCTACTCTTCAGACTGGTAGCCACATAGGATAATAAACAGCTAGACCTGAAGGTCCTCAGGAATATTGTCTACTCTACCACTATTTTTTAAATTAATTTATTTTTTAAATTCCAATACAAATCCCCCTCTTTCCTCTCCTTCCAGTCCCCCTACTTCCACCACCTCCCATTAGCTCCTTGAAGAGGGTAAGTCCTCTCCTAGGAAATCTACTAAATCTGTCCCATCATCTTGTTGAGGCAGGACCAAGGCACCTCTCTACCCTCCACACCTGGGTCTAGACTAAGCAAGGTATTGCTCCATATAAAATGGGCTCAACTAAGGCAGTTTGTGCATTAGAGTTATATCTTGGACCCACTGGCAGTGACCTCATATATTGTCCCAGTCACACCATTGTTGCCTAAATTAAGGGATTCTAGTTTAGTCTTATGCAGGTTCCCCATTTGTGAGGCCTGAGTCAGTGATCTCTCACTATCTTGGATCAGCTGATTCTGTGGGTTTCCCCATCATGGTCTTGACTCCTTTGCTCATATTATCACTCCTCCCTCACTTCGATTATACTCCAGTAGCTTGCCCCAATGATTGGTTTTGGATTTCTGCATGTGCTTCCATCTATTTCTGGAAGAGGGTTCGAGCTTCTCTGAGGTTGTGGGTTGTAGGCTGGGTATCTTTTGCTTTGTGTTTGGTATCCACTTATGAGTGAGTAATACTATATTTATCTTTATGGTTCTGAGTTACCTCTCTCAGAATGGTTTTTTCTAGTTCTGTCCACTTGCGTGCAAATTTTAGGATGCCATTGTTGTTTTTTTTAACTGTTGAATACTATTCCATTGTGTGTATGTACCACATTTTCTTTATCCGTTCTCCCATTGAAGGGCATCTAGGTTGTTTCTAAGATCTGACTATTAACGAACAATGTTGCTATGAACATGGTTGAGCAAATATCCTTGTGATGTGAATGTGCCTCTTTTGGGTATATGCCCAAAAGTACCATATGCCTATTATAGGTAGGGCAACTGCAACACAAAAAGGAACAGGGAACTTGTCAGACATTGCTCCTGTTTACAGGTTTGGAAGGTACATACAAAGTTCTAATCCCATGCATAGACTGGACCCGACTTTCCATAGTGACATGTTAACTTGGTCTAGAAAGATCAACTTTTAATCAGAATGTCTGCCTCTCTTCCAGTTTTGGAGCAAACAGGCTTCCTGTAACCATTCTCTGTTCTTTAAAACAAACATATGTAATAATAATGCCTAACAGATATTGAAGCACTTGATGGGTACCAGAAAGTAATTGAAAAATAAGATCTCATTCTGTTTCCTTCTCTCATAGTCTCTGCCACAGGTCATATTGTTGTCTTCATTTTACAAATGGGAAACTGTAGAACATGACTGGAAGATGCTAGCCGAAGTTGTATAGATAGAGCAGAGGGAGAAGGGGTGTCACAAGACAGGACACCTATTCTCAGAACAAAATGAATCTCTAATGTTCTTTTCCACATCTCCCCAGATAGGGCACAAAGGAGTACACTGGTACAAGGCTGTGTTGCTCTGTAGGGAATTGCATTTATTGCAGCATCATAGACAATATAAATTAGAAGGGACTGTAGGATTCACACAGCTGGAATTTATATGTGGGAGAAAAGTAAAGTCACTAGGTATACATGATCTAATAGCGTCATTAAAGGGTCATTTTCCAAGTGTCATATGTCAACATGTGTTTTCTCTGTGTCTAAGATAGTGCCTGCTTGGATATATATATCTCTAGAGATGGCTTATACACCCTATTCTCAAAAGCATGTGAGGCTGTTCTTTGTTACATCATGGGCCAATAAGGCTTGTAGAGGCAAAATATCAGGCTTGTGTCTGGAGAACTTGCAACCACTGGACTTGAAGCAGTATTAGACGGGCCCCATTCTCAGAATTTGCCTAACTGTTCAGTGGTTCCTTGCTGCACCAGGTTATGACCTACAAAGATTTACACCCCTCCCTGCTTTTCCTCCCTCTCTTTTCAGCAACTGTATTCAACCTCTGGCTCATTAGAGTCTCATTACAAGGTGTTGTTTGAGGTATCATGACCTCAGTCACTTCCTAGTAAGCATGGAAGTGCCACATCAGCTGTCAAGGAACCAAAGGTCACAGACAATATAACCTTCCAGCACAGAAGTGGGTGGAGCTATGCTGCAAAGCCCTGTGAGTGAAATAGGACTCCTGACTGCCAGACTCCATTCATTGATTGTTCTCCAGCTCCAGCTCCAGCTTGGTGACAAAATTCCAGTATATATGACAAGGCACTTCCCACCCCCTGTCAGCTTGGCAATTTTAAAAGTTAGAAAGAAGCTAGGCTACATACTGGAGGAGTAACTAGGTAAAGTTAGGGCCATCCTCAGCTTAGACTGAGAAGAGAGAGGATGGAGGGCTGTGTTCTGTCCATCCTTCACCTTCTGAGATTTTCTAAGAGGCACCCAAGGAATCTTCACCACAAAAAATTTAAACTTAAGCAGGCCCTGCTCTAGTCTCAGTGACCCATTTTTCAACTTTACCTCATGGACAGCATGTTTTCCAACAGCATATAGGAATAGGTGTTATGTTTCCTTCATATGTGTCCTTGGACAAAGACTTAAAATTGCTGTTGGAGACCATACTCAGTGATAGGCGACATGTGTTTCCATTAGCTGTTTTACTTAGTTCAAGGATCACCATATATATGCATCTCATCAGGGATTTTGAGATATTTCAAATTGCCCTTCAAACTCCATCACTCTCTTTGCCAACAAAAGAGTCCAAAGGCCTATCTAAACAAAAAACATCCTCTTGGTTGAAACAGAAATGGAGTTTACTAATTCTTTATGCTTTAACAGGGGATTGGAATTTTCATATCATTCAATGTTTTAATAGTATCAAATAATTGATAGCTGGGGGATAGGGTCAGCAGTTATCATTCTTGTTTCTTATATAGAAGACTAACATTCAGTTCCCAGTACCCACATAGTAGTTCATAGTCATCCATTACTCCAGAGTACTGGACCTCTCTTAAACTCAAGCACACATGTGATGCATATGTATATTAAAAATGCTGATATACAAAATCTTAAATAACAAGCAAGTAATTTAAAAGGAGTTTTTAATGCTATGGAACCAAACTATATCCATGGGCAACATTAGTCCTTGCTCATCTGCTTGCCAATGTATAACCTCTGACCTATATTGTTGCTAGACACAAGAATTTTGAGAGCCACAAAGAGTTCAGTCAGAAGGCCAAAATAAACCCACTCTTGTTTTTGTATGTAAACAGCTACATTGACTTCCCTTGCTTGGATGTAGGTTTCTGTTGCCCAGTCCCACAGCCCTTCAGTGCCATATAAACACACTGAGGCTTACAGTAATTAGAAACTGTTTGGCTGATGGCTCAGGCTGATGGCTTTATTATTAACTAGCTCTCTCTTAATTATTCACCATTTCTATTAAACTATGTATCTCCATATGGTCTTGGTTTACTGAATAATGACCAGACCTGTGACTCCTTTGACAGCTACTGCCTTTCTATTCCCAGCATTTTCCTTATCTGGTAGTCCCCCCCCCCAATACTTCCTGCATGGCTACTGGGCAATTATCATTTTATTAAACCAATGAGAGAAACATATATTCTATTCACAACATAAAGGCAGGGCATCCCCAATCAATTGGAGAATTTTTTTTTTTTTTTGTGATGAGCAGGTTTTTGCTTTGATATGTGAATCACCCTTGGGTACATTTGAGAACAGTGTGCTATTACTGACTTAAGATGAAGTTAAGGATGCTATTTTTTTTTTTTTACAATATCTGTGCTGTCCAAGGTCAGAAGACCCTCACTTTTTCACATGTAAATCTAACAAAAATGTTTCACCCAAACTTGGTTAAGCTTCAAATAGTAATACCACAAATACCACACACTGGAAGCTCTGCCCAGCTGAGGTGAACATTTCTACAGGTGACAAAACTTGGTCCCAGGTATGTGAAAGAGTAGTGTCAGAGAGAAGAGAAAATTACTTTCCACCGCACAGCTTGCTTATTGTACAACAAAAGGCAGGTTACCATTGCACTCCTGCTCATGCAGACTTCTTGAGGTCTTTTTTAGTTTCCAAAGTTCAGTGTTACAGCTCACTGAGCAGTTGCTTAGCAACCATCTAATATAGCAAAAAATAAACTGCTCAATTGGAAAATAATGAAGTCAGGCATAACTGCAGAGCTTCACCAAAGTCTCTTCTGGGAAAGCAACTGTTAGAGACATAGCTATCACTCTTGATTGCAGAACTATTCAGTAAGGTCAGAGGGGCATAGAGAAGCTACACAGACCTGCATTTGAACAAGTACATGACTTGAGGCAGTTTGCTCCATTTTCCAACACTAATGGGCACTAATGGCCCACTGCTGGGTTATAGTAGGTGCTCCACAGGAACTAATTCTGTATCCCATGGAAGGCTCACAGTCACTTTGGGACTAATTTGCCAGTCCACACAGCAGGACCTCCCTTTGCAAGGACCCTGCAACCTTCAGGACAGTTGAATAACTGTGTGGAATTATTGCATTCTTTTTCCTCATGAGCATGAGAAACAAAGGGTCTCTCATCTATGATAGTTTAATTTTTTATTTTTGAACTATGAAATGATGCATTCCCACAAAATATACTTAATACTTTTAATTTTGTTCTTTTTTTCCACCCAGCAATCAGCATATAATCTTTTCTTGATGCTAGGCTATACACTGAGAGAAGCTCCCAATCAGCTGTGTGGTCACAGAGGACTCTGATATGACACTCCACACTGTGCTAAGCTATGGTATCAGCTAGATTAGGTGTAGTAAATGGATTTCCCACATACCATGCTTTCAATGTATGATGAATATATCGAGATGTGACCCCATTTTAAGTAAAGGAGCATCTATCCTCCTATACACGTTACTTTTTTCTTGCTGTGATAAAGTACCATGA